TTTTTTTGTGCGTGTTTATTCATCATTTATCATTGTTTGTTTTCTGTTTCTGTGTTGTTCCCTGCGTGGTTGGCTTTTGCGAGTCGTTCTGCTATCTGTTTGGGATTACAGTTGCAGATGCAGGACAGACAGCTCGTCTGGAAGCAATGCAGCCCGTACTTGCCTGGCGGGTTTGGCAATGTCTCTGATGTTGTCACTCTCCAAGGAGCAGGAAAACTATCGAACGATGGGAGGTAAAAAAATATGAACTTCCAGTTACTTTCCTTAAAAAAATCTGAGCAGAAAAGAGAAAATAAACTTTCCCGCCGTACTTTGTGTTTTTTAAACTTTTTATGTTTCAAGAGCAGCATCTGGAAACCCACCAGGTTGTTGGAGAGTGTTTTGGCTGCTGGCGGGCGGTTCTTTGATCGTCGTTTTGTTTGGCGGCGGCAGTTCTTTTGCCCCTCATGTTTTGTTCTTTCTTTTCTTTCCTGTCTCGTGCGGCTCTTCTCTTGGCCAAGTTTTTGAGTTTCTGAGCATGTGCTCACAGCTGTGGTGTCAGCCAGCCCAGTAGTCGACTGACTGGCCAAAACAGGCTCACAATCAAGAAGAGGGCTATGACTCCTATGAGTTAAAATGACACTTGGCTTATCAGTCTAATTTTGGGTTGAAGCGCCAGTGATTCACAATGGTTTTTATCATCACCACATGACCTGTTGTTGCGGCTTTACCTTGGAGAAAAAGAAACACACAAAAAAAAAACATCAGAAAGCACGTAGACTGGTGAATGAGAGCACGTGAAAGTTCAATTGCAAATTACCTGTTGCAGTGCGAAGGATGTGCGAACACATTACCTGATCAGAGTTGGGTGCAAATCATGCTTTCACGGACAAGAGCAAGCATGCAACTACAAGAACTGCAATTCTTCTAACATAATCTCCTTCCTCTTTGAAAAGATCAAGCGGCAGCATAGCTCCATGTCTTTGCCTCCCTCAGAATGTCGGTATCTCTCCACCCCACCTAAAAGGATCGAATCATAACATAACCTCCCCTTCTCGCTCCTCAACCTTCCATTGCTCCTCCTTAACCCTCAGTAGCTTCGCCATTGTTTCAAAAGATATCAACGACGCTCTCCTCCACTGCCTTCTCTCTCTCCCCCACAAGTTCAACGCACAGTAACATGAAGCTGTCCTTTATTTCTTTTGTTTTTCAACATGAGCTGAAAAACATTGCTCTCCCCCTCTCTCTCTGGGTGGATGGAATGCAAACACACAGCAGAACGAGCAGAGCTACCAAAATGTCAGATCAAGCGTGGGGGGAGGGAGGCACCCATGCTTAAGCCGTCAGGAGGGATTGGCCTTGCTGAACATGTGTGAGAACTGGGAGAGGTTGGGGGAGGTGATCGAGGAGGCGAGGAGAGAGTGGCAGCAGGCTGGGAAGGTGGGGAGAGTTGGTGAAAGATAGCAGGGGGCTAGGGAGGTGATGAGAGATGCTGGGATGTGGTGGGAGGCTGGGGAACTGGAGAGAGGGTGGTGGGCGGAGGGGAAAGGTGAAGGGAGGTGTGGAAAGGCCAGGTGGAGTCGGGAAGTCGATGGAAGGGGCACGGACTGAGGGAAGGTGGCAGTCAAGCCCCTCCTCAGTATCAGGTTCTCTCTCTCTCTCTGTCTCACCCCCCCCTACCATCTTCACCCGAATAGAACGCCCGGTCATTATAGCTGTTTTTAGGGCAACTTCAGTCCAGATATAGCGATCATTACTGGGCGTTCTATTCGGGTGAAGACGGTAGCACAATGATTGTGTGGGTTCGGTAGGAGGGTGAGGAAGGTGAGAAAGAGACTGGCAACTGGCGGATGGGGGAAGGCAGTGGGCGGCGCCGGAATGTTGGAGGGAGGTTGGGGAGGTGAAGGGCAGGTAATGGGCTTTCCCCCCCCCCCCCCCCCCCCCCCCCCACCCACACATGTTCACTCAGCTGCGATGGGAGGGTGAGGGAGGCGGGGAAGGTGGCAATAAGAGGAGAGAGATGCTGGGTGGGCGGTGGAGGAGAGAGGTGGGGAAGGCGGCAGGAGGATGGGGGAAAGTGGATGGATGCAGAAGGACGGGGTGCAGGAGGAGGAGGGAAAGTGGATGGGTGCAGGAGGATGGTGGAAAGGCAGCTGGTGCCAGGGGGATGGGAAGGTGGCTGGCAGCGCTGGGCTGGGCGATTGGAAAAGAGAGGGAGAGCGCAGCGATGAAACACATCAAATTTTGTGTTGCACAAGAAAAGTCCTGTGTGCACTGGACCATTGGTCGTTCCTACTTTGGCTTGATAACATGGGCGATGGACCAGTGCACAGCTGAGATCAAAGGCCGTTCACAAAACATTAAGAACAGTCAACCATTGGGACCGTAGGGCCAGTATGACTGTCCAGATTGAAAGACGATCTTAAGTTATTACGACTGCGTGATGATCTGGGCCATTGACTGGCACGCCAGACCAGATTGACACGCGATCTTAAACCACCAGTACGTTTGCCAGCTATTTTGTTTCGGCACAATGGTTAACACGCCGCGTTCTCCGGGGTCCCAACGGCCCAGATTTCGGATTTCTTACACTCCTGAGACTCCTGCAACATCCAGGCTGTGGGCATGGGAAGACCACTGAGATCGCCACTGTGTGTGGCGAACTGGCTCAATCATCACTGATCAGAACATGAAAAGCCCATTATGCGTCGCTGAACTTTGGTGATTGTACAGCCTTCAGGATATAATGCCAAGAAGTAGCCATGATCATGAGGTCACTTTAAGGATAATAATTTAATAATGATGATAATATCAGGGTAAAAGTAAAAAAAAAACTCAGAATGGAGCTTTCCACTGTCTCTGCATAATCCTGATATGTTTGAACTTGGAATTGCTTAGTTGATGAACAAGTAACATGGTAATAACAGCTGTCAGTGACTTAAACAAGTAAAATGGTAGAAATGACTATGTGTAATTTTTTTTCTGTTATGTGTTATTCTCACTTACGATGTAACGTGCCTAATGTTTTCATCGCTTTTGTTTTTGCGTTTGCACGGCACTTGGGTGAGGGGAGTGGTAGTGGTGGTGGCGAGGGGAGCAATGGGTGGGCTCTTTATTTTTTTGGGGGGGGGTCCTCAGCCGGTTGTATTTTGCAGCAAGCGATGGGAGTCTTCTTGAGCTGATCTCCATCTCACCCCCTCTGAAGTAAGGCTCATGTCTCTTGTCTCGCTCATTCTTTTTTTTTTTTTTTCCCTTCTCTCTTTTCGTTTTCTTCCTGTGCTTCTTCTGACCTCTCTTTTTTGCCTTTTACCCTCTTTCTGACTTCATTCCGAAACTCTTTCACTCTCTTTCCTTATCTTGGTGTGATGGAGTCTGACTGTCAGTTTTTTTTTTTTTCTTAACAAAAAGCATGAAAAATGAGAAAACGGTCAAATAAATAAATAGCCTTCTAATTTCTAAATTCAAATAGTATTACTTAGTAACCTAATATACTGTATTCATCCATTTTGGCATTTTCTGGCATTTCTGCCTGCTTGTTTTTCCTTTTTTGGGGAAAGGAAATGGGAAAAGAAATCAAATCATACTTGCAAGCGGACGCCGTCCGGGCGGTTCCGCACGTGTGGCAGACCGCCGGACCGGACCCGCGCGGCGCACGAATGTGCGCCTGACGACCAGTTACGCCCCCCCCCCCC